GGATGTGAAATACCTGAACGTATAAGATGTCTACATGTTGATTTATATTTACGAATGATGTCCTTGTACCGATGATAAAATTTAGTAAATGTTTTGAAGAATATATGTTTTAATTTTGGATTCTATGGTGATTTGTATTTTACCAGTGTGTTTTCTTCAAACCTGCAAACTCTGACTATTCTTAAAATGATATTGTAATAAATCGATTAAAAGTGCAATATTTGTTTTTGTACATATATATTATAACCTCAGTACTAATATAATTTTCTAGATACAAATTACTGACTGGGGTTTGATGGTTGCATTTTCATTTTTTTTTTTTTGCTTTTCACTTGTAATTTTTCTGATTGAATATTCGACAACATGAAAATGACAGAAAATATAAATTGATGTTTTACATGCCGGTCATTGTTCCATATTGACCCATGTTTAACCCAATATTTTGCCTTTAAAATTTTACCAAAAGCAATTAACCCATTTTCTTTATCCTAATGAACACAGACCACAATTAAATTCCCCTATTAGTTCTTTATAACGTTTTGTTTCATTAAAAAAATTGCACCTTGCATTTTTGTCAAATCTTTTGTGTGTGTAATGTATAGTACTAGTCCAAAAATATATCCAAAATTCAGAAAGATTGAACCAATGACTCTTACAAATTTAGCCAATACACATCCATACCCCTATGGACAAGTCAAGAGATGTTCCGAAAACTGTAAATATCACCTTTTTGCACCTGGCCTAATCACTCTTTCCATATCAAAATCAGTTAAAATACAACATCCAAAAGTTTATTTCACCTCCCTTTTTTTATTTCCACCCACAAAAAATAAGAAATGAGTGAGGAAGGGAAAGAAAAAAAATTAAGAAAAAATACACTCTAATTAAAAGGAACTATTATATTGGATCATTAATTGTGGTCTTGGGCCTAATCTCTGAAGTTACACATTTTGCTGTAGACTAAACGCGCGTATGGCGTACAAAATTATAAGCCTGGTAACTTTAATAAGTTTTTTCTTATACAGAACCTCAACAGGCAAAAATAAGCCTCCTCCTACCATGCAAATGGAACGGATCCCCTGACTTATAAAAACGATTTAAGGTGGTACCAAACACCTTGACTAAAATCAATTTTGCTCGTTTAATTTTCATAAAATTTAAACAAAATATTTACTTTGACCCTTTGACAAAAATATAAAAATTTCAAAAAACTTGAACCACACACTTTATCGGAAAAAAATCATTGGATATGGTATATAGTAGTTTGACAAACACTTATTTTGATCATCGAGAAGCTAGATATTTCTTTAACTATAGAACGTGATTAAAACGTTCAGCTGATTTTTACAGAGTTATCTCCCTGTAGTGTTATGTACCACCTTAAACATATTTTGTTCATTTTTTTTCCAGATTGATCATTCAGAAAGAAACAATGACACCAAAGCTTCCATTTCTTGATAGAAAGTTTAGGTAAGGTACACGGCTATTTTGTATGCGATTTAGATAATATCTAAAACCTCTAACGATAGAACAAGTAAAAGCACTTTCAGTTCAAAATTTGTTGGGAAAAATATTAGCCTTCTTATAACTTTAAACGTATCAGCAACGCAACTTAACTAGTATACAGAAAATGTCAATGACGAAGAAAAAAATAACAATGTTAACAACGTGCACATGCGCGAACCATAGACCTCTAGCACATAAACGTATAATAACTTTGACGGCATTGATAAAACAAGTCCACAAGGTTAATGATTTGTGACGGACAAATATGGGCTAATATGCATTTATAAATATTTAGCGAAAAGCAAAATATAATGCAACTTCAAGCTGAGGGTAATTAAATTTGAAAAAAAAACTTCCATCTAACTTATCATGTATTCAAGTTGTTAGACAAAAAAAACCCTAATAATAAAATGGATTACAATATCATCATGTCGCGATGCGTGTACACAATTTGTTGTAATGTCCCTGGACTGTTTTGACTAGTACAATGTACCACTTATTCTACTCTGGTCTTCTTAAATACCTAACATTATTGCATAAAGTGATTCTTTGTCATTAATAAGCGACGAAAAAGTAAACAATGCATATGAAAATATCAGTTGTACAATTTTAACACCTTGGTAACAATCTCTTTTCAGGAGCCAAGACTTAAAAACTGGTGATTGTAATCCAAAAACTGTTTGGTTCAGTAAAATTCCTCTGAAAAGGACAGCTCTAGCTAGTTATCCAGGATCGGGAAACAAGTTGCTTCGACATGCAATAGAGCTAACGTCAGGTGATTCTTTCAATCATATTGAGAGTGAGCGTTTTACATATATCTTTGATGGTATAATTGGCTAAGTTTTACAAAACTACTGTGCTTGGGGTATTGTTGAAATGTTTTTTAATGTAACATTCTTCTTCTCTTTTTTTACCACGAAAACCTGTTGCACGGCGATGCCATTTAATTCTATTTTTTTGCAGGAGTATTGACGGGTTCAACATATTGTGACAAAAAATTGTTACAAAATTTTGAAGGTGAATGTACTGACGATGAAACAGTTCTTACAATCAAAACACAAGAATGGTTCGACAAACACAAATATGAGAAGGCAGTAATACTTATCCGGAGTCCTTATAAAAGCTATGCATCCCTGTTTAGCCATCGAAAGGCCCAAGATATTGAAAAAGGAGCCAGTAAAGCAGATTTTGATTGTAAGTCATTTACTTACATTATGCGCCGGTGCAGAATCTAAAGGATTATGGGTAATTTCATATTTTGTTCGTAACCAAAATTGAAAATAACGTCTCTTCATCTTCATTGGTTGAATTTTTATTGGGTATGACGTTGTCAGTCAATCACAGCGACTTGGTTTACGCTTTTTACGCAAGTATTACCCAGAATGCAATCGATTCGGAAAAGGCGAATTGAATATCCTGGTTCACGGTACTACGTTCCAGATATTAGCTGATATTGGTATATGTGTAACATACTGAATATTGCGATCGGGAACCAGTCTACGAATTGAACAACTAAGCGAATGTTAAAATGTCGTTCTTACTTTTCTCTGTTCAACAAGTTTTATTATTCATCTTTACGGGGATTTCATCAGAATTGTGAGGAAGTTGGCTCAAGACTGAACAACCTGGTTCCCTTAGCTTGTTATAATGCCTCAAACTCTATACTAATAATTTTGAAAGATATTGGCTAGAACTCTTGTATTACTTTTAATGCATATTCTACATTGCATCTGCGTTGCGTTTTATATATCTAATTGTAGTGGGAAACCTTATGGCAAAAAATTATCGCCGGAATGGAAATCTTCAATATTCAGCACGCTCACCGTGAGGTTACTACTGATTACAATTTCACCAAAAAATCATGCTTTAGTAACACGATGTTGTGCTTTTACACCACTGTTTCATGTTAGGTGACAGAGGCTTGAGTGTCTCATCGGTAATCATACCATATCTTCTTATCTTTATATATTCACACACAAACAATATTTTTTGTATTGAAAGTTCTCAGTACTTTGATTAGAAATGCTTGCTCGAAAGGTTAGATTAAAACAATAGGTAGATTTCAGGAAATTGTATCATGCTAAAACCTGTGTGAAGCACTCTAAGAATAAGCTTATGAAGAGCTTGAGATTTGTATGTCTATGAATTATCTCATCTATTTTTATTTTGCAACAATGATTAACATTTTCTAACATATGAATGTAACAAGCTTCTAATGTAATTCACTCGTTAAATAATGAAAATAGGAAAATTCCATTATATTTCATATAACATAGTCTAACAGATTATTTTTTTAAATGTACGATTGTAGTTTCGAAATAACATTACATTAGTATGGTTACCGACATAAACAAATTATAGTTAATTTCGTCACCTTTATTACACAAAAGATACTTTTCTATTGTTCCAGACTTCACATTCCTAAATTTTTATACTGATTGAAAATGTAATTTTTCTCACATCGTTTTAACAATTGACGTTCTCTTGGCATTTTTGCAGTGAAATATAAAGAATTTATAGCTAGTCTGTTTGACATGTGGAGATATTTTAACGAAGAATGGATGAAAGACTTTGTTGGTCCGAAATACATAATCTTTTTCGATAATCTTGTACGGAACCCTGAGAGGGAAAGCAGGAAACTGATGGCATTTTTAGAATTCAAATACACCGAAAAAGACTTAATGTGTATGGCAAAACATCTGAAAGCAGGTATCCGCAAAAAAGAATATGAGGACATCGATGTGAAACAGTATCTCACACTAGAACAATTGAGTAAAACAGAGAAGTACATCAAAATAATAGAAAAACTTGCTACTGAGATAAACAATATTCCTCATCACATTGATCGGGATTTATAGACTGAGAAAACATAGAGACAAATCAAAACTCGGGATTACAAGAGAGCATTTCGCTACTAGTGTACCTATAACATTTAGTCGGAGTTTTTGTAGGAAGCAGACAAAGAAAGGTTTTGAATGAATGAAACTGAATAACGCATTGTCACGTTATATTAATTTGGTGTTATAAATTGTTGTGTTGAACCATACCTTTTCCATGTTTCCTTTTATATTTTAGTTTTTTTGTATTTTTTTTCTAGGGTTTTTATTATGTTGAATCCTTAAAATTCTCGAATATTTCCAAGTATAACAAGAGGCTGTCAGAGTGACAGAAAACCGAATTATTTTACATTTTTTTTGTGTCCTGGCATTTTTAAATATCAGAAGGACCATAACTTCTGAACGGTAAAAGTTACAATCATCAATATTGAACTTGACCTCCAATTTGTCATCAGTAACACCATATTAAAATTTGAAACGCTTTGATTGAACGGTTCATGAGTAAATGCACGGACACTGTTGAGCAGCCGCCCGCCCGCCCGCCGTACATCCCCAAATCAATAACCGATTTTTCCATCGGAAATCCGGTTAAAAATGGATCAAAGACTCAAATGGCAAGGGTAGCACATAGTTTTCTTAAACACTGGAGAATGGTCAATAATTATAAACATTTATCATGGAAATATAAAAATGTATTTAAAAATAAGAAAAAAATATTATACAGCTCCATTGCATAAGGTGCATAACCTTTATAAGTTAACAAACATTGTGTGAAGTTCCAAGATGTGGATTGAAAACATAACAAATTGGTACCATCTTTTGATAACTTTGCTGAAAAATTACTCCGTTCCAAAGCGTGGAAAAATTCCCAAAACAATTCCATAAAAGCAAGAATTTGTCCAACCCGGCCAAAAGACAATACAATGTATGACCACCCGTCTACTGAAGACTGGCAGTTACCATTTATTTGTCTTTTGGTTACATTGTTGGATTGCTGTCTTTTTGACGTGTACCCCACATCTCATTTTATTCACACTAAAGTTAAAATCTTCAGGTCACCATAATTACATATAAAAGAAACCTTAACTAATATCTTCAAACCGTGACTTGTCTTATTTACATTTTCTGGTAGATTTGCTATTATTGTTTTATCGTATTTCAGGACAACTTAAACAAAGAGTATGGTATGGCAAGCCGTTCTCGTCAAAACTATGTTTAAACCATTTTTTCGAAAAATTTACACACTGAGAATTAAAAAAAAAACACACACCGAGATTAAAAAACCTAAAAACACACACTGAGAATTAAAAATTACACAATGAGATTTCATAAAAACGCACTGAGATTACAAAAAATGAAAAACACACACTGAGAATTGAAAATTACACAATGAGATTTCAAAAAGACACACTGAGATGAAATAAACTGAAAAACACACACTGAGAATTTGAAATTACACAATGAGAATTTAAAATTACACACTGAGATTTGTGCGCACTTTTTATGCGCACATATCTAATTAGCATACTTAATCTGAATCTATTACAAGCTTAAAACAACTAGGGGACACAACTCGTTAGTCCTTCAATTTGGCGCTAAATGGTTTATAAAAAACATTAAAAGTACAACGTATAGAAAAACTACGTTATTAAAGACGAATAGAACAAGAACAATACCCACTTACTCTCATTACAAAATATAACCAAATGGTGAAAAACTTTATTAAAATTATAAGAAAACATTGGAACAATCTGCAAAAATACAAACAATGCAGTGAATTTTTTTCCCAAGTGCCTATTATAGCATATATACGTACAAAAATATAAAAGATTACCTTGCGAAATCAGGGTAACAGTTGAAAGACTTTTGAAAAGGGACCATGCTTAAATAGTTTTAAGCAAAAAATCCCGTTTTACTGTTAGTAATAATCTGAATTATAGGCAACAAACTTATGAATATGAGTTAACAAAAATAGTTGTTAAGTCTTGAAATTTATTACGAATGTTGGTTGTAGGAACCGCATTTCATTATAATGACAAGAGTTCGGGAGACTAAGATATTAATCTGTTGAATTATTCATTACATGAATATTCATTAGTAATTTGCATATTAATCTCAGTGTGTATTTTTTAAATCTCAGTGTGTAATTTTAAAATCTCAGTGTGTAATTTTAAAATCTCAGTGTGTAATTTCGAATTCTCAGTGTGTTATTTTAGGTTCTTAAATCTCAGTGTGATTTTTTTCGAAAAAATGGTTTAAACATAGTTTTGACGAGAACGGCTTGCCATAGTATGGGTTTTATTTGCAAACTTACACTTCATTAACTTTAAACTTAAACAAGTTCACATCACATCGACTTCGCAAAAATTGTGATCAAAAGTTTGGAATCACACCAATTACATGATACTTGTTGTTACGTTATCTTATGTTCTGATAATATTTTAGTAATATTTGTATAACCATTCAAAGCAGCCACATCCTTTGGGCATACACCATCCTTGTTACAAAGTCCAGGTTTGCTCTTGTACTGTAATAATAATTTCACGGTATCAGCATGGCCATTGGATGCAGCCGTATAAAGTGGCGATTCGCCATCCTTGTCACATAGATCAGGATTACTACTATTTTCTAACAATAACCTCACAATCTGTATATGACCATAAGACGAAGCAGCCCAAAGTGGCGACCATTTGTTTTTATTGCAGATGTTTAGATCACACTTTTCATTCATAAGTTTTCTAGCAATTCCTGTATGGCCATACCTCGATGCAATATATATAGGCGTCTGATTATCTTTGTTGATCAAATGAGGATTGCATTTGTGCTCCAACAACAGTTGAACGATTGCGTCATGTCCATAATGACATGCAATATACAAAGCGGTTTGATTGAAGTAGTTATTTATATCTACTTTACAGCAATGACTCAAAAGTAACTTCACCATTGCTGTATGACCATTCGCTGAGGCTATGTAAAGTGGCGATTGGTTGAGATAATTACAAAGATTGACATCGCACTTGTATTCTAACAATACTTTTGCAGTCAGTAAATGTCCATTATGCGCAGCTGCATACACAGGCGATTCCTTTCCTTCATTACAAAGATCAGGATTAAATCTCCGCTCCAGGAAAATTTCAGCTAATTCTGCATTGTCAAATCGAGCAGCTACATATATTGGCGTCTCATTGGTCTGGTTACCAAAGTCCATGTTGCAATTATACTTCAGAAACAGTTTCATTATCTCAATTCTGTTCCTGTATGCTGCATCATGCATTGGAAAGCTATTTACCTCTCTCGAATAAGGATTAAATGTATTTCCTATGAAAACGTCAACTGATGCTGAGTAGCAATCACTCGAATATGGGACTGCAGATAAGGTGTCAGTGTTAGCTATGCGATTCATTATATATTCTTGCTGAGATACCAATTTCTTAAATTTTCTGTGCAACCAGTCTGGTACATTATTCGATGTGATTTGTCCAGTCTTACATATTGTCGAATGAAAGTCATTTTGTAAAAGTATTTCTGCTATATCCCTCTTATCAAGTTGCACAGCGCATCCAAGAATTGGAAGTTTTTCTTGTTTCGAAGGAATGCATTTATGCTCGAGTAGTAACTTCAAAACGTGTTCTTCTGACCTTGTGATTGAAGTAAGTAGTGACTCGACACGAGTTTTGTCATTTACATCTAAGTTCTGAAGCAGTATGTCTAAAATTTCAATGAAAGATTTTCGTGCAGCAACATATAAAGTTGGTAAATCCTGTTTGTCTAAGGAATTTGGATCGCACTTATGCTCCAACAGTAATTTCACTATTTCTATCTGCCCATTTGCAACAGCGACATTGAGAGGCGGACTTACGCCTTCTTTGCACAAATTAGGACAACATTTCTTTTCTAATAATACTTTCACTGTATCAGTGTTCCCCCAATGTATTGCTATAAGTAAAGGAGTTGTGCCTTCTTGATCTGACAAATTTGGATTACTACTACATTCCAACAAGGCTTCTACAATTTTGGTACTCCCATCGCTTGCGGCAAGCAAAAGTGGAGATCTGCCTCTTTTGTCACACAAATCGGGTACACTACCATGTTGCAATAAAATTTTGACAACCTCGATATGGCCTTGACTTGTTGCTGCATACAGAGGAGAAAGTCTGTCGTTAGTACAGAGGTTAGGGTTACAATTGTTTTTCAGCAACAAGAGAGTCATTTCTTTATACCCTTTTCTCGAGGATAGGAATAGTGGAGTTCTCCCGTTTTTATCTCGAACATCAACATCAAGTTTAAAACTTATCAGTGTTTCACCAATGTCATGATATCCTTGATCAGCAATAGTTAATAGAGGAGACAGCTCGGACTGGCTCGACATTTCCAGAAGCTTGCTGATGTCAGTTTGGGATTCTAAATATTGGACAAACTTTTGGCGATATGCTGTATAAAGCAATTGCCTATTGTTAAAAACATTACAAAGAAAGCCGTTTCTAATGTCACTAATTACACGATCAAAATACGGCTGCTCTTTGTCCAGTTGTACTTTTATAACACATTCAACGTCATCATCTTCTAAGGAGCTAAAGTGATATCGATCCCGAATTATTTCAGAATGAGCCATTTCCAAAATGTAATCAAACATGTGATTACCATAAAAGACTACAACTATATCAAATATTTTATCACTAACAACGTGGTATGCATTTCCTGTTTTCCTAATATAAGATCCTTCCAAAGTGTCCAAATGGGATTTTAGAATTTGTTTTGACAGATTAAACTGTAGCTCACACACATCGACAATGTCATCTAATATAGATTTGATATCTGAACTTCGGCTTAATAGTTCTTGATGCAAATCATTATTGTAAATGACAAATAACACTAAAACAGCATATGTTGTACGGTCTACTGCGTTCATCATACGTGTCAAATCATCCTGGATTACCTGAACCGGGAATGAAAAAAATGTCTTAATATCAACTGTTTTGTATGCGCTATAAATCTGACAAAGCATCGGAAAGAAATCATACAACATTATATGTTCAGATATCTGTTCGATTTCAACGTCGGTTAGATATGCCTTAGCTATTAGTTCCTTTTCATTGTACTTTAGACGGTTCGTTGTAGAATTCAGATCATATTTTGAGTCCGACAGTAATTTTATAATTTGAAAATGACGACTGAGAAAAATGTGCGATCTACAAGTTACCAATAATTTTATAGTTTTATTACTCAAAACTGCCTTTATGTCACTACTCGCTAAGTCCCATTCCCGCACCATCTGTAAATCAACTGAGTACTTTCCACATGCATCATCTACCACAAATACCTGCATGCAGTCCGGATTATAGTAACGCAAAATATCTGCAGGTGAATTTAAAGGTACGATGTTATAACCAAATTTGTTTTCTAAAAGCAAAGCAACATAGTGTACAGAAGTAGACTTTCCACAGCCATCAGGTCCGACTACTGTGACCACATCATGTGTTTGAAGCTCTTGTTCAATGTTTTTCATTGCTGATGTTTCTACTACTTTTTCCTCGATAACTTTCCACTCGGCAATCTTTACAATGTGGATACCTGCAAATAAATACGAATTTGGCAAAAAAAAAAAAAAAAAGAATTTAAAGTAAAACGTACCATTTTTGATGTATTCGATTTGTTTTTCAGGATAAAACAATCATTACTTGGAACATTAAAACTTAAAGGAATTCTGGGACAAATGCATGTAGATTTTTATAATTTATACAGTTTTATTTTCATGTAGGAACCTGAATCGCTCACTTAGATGTATTTTGACCAGTTAGTCCAAAAAATCCTTTAAAATGTAAATACATATGATATATAACTTCTAAGGGTAATTTTTGTATGGTTCGATTTCATTTGTTCTTTAATAGAAATCAAAACATAATTGCTCATACTGTTCAATAAAAATTTTAATTTTTGCTGGCGGTCTTTCTATAGGTTCAGTGGTTCTACAAAAGAGTACTTCTTGAAAATCTTCCAAATTTTATCACTTTAGCTCTTCAATGCAATATCTAAATCTTAATCAAAACCAAGGTAACAACACTTTGTAGTTACATTCGGAGGATTATTTCTGAATGTTATGTTTTCACTTCAATAGTTCTTGAAAAGAAAAGATACATTGTAATTTTGAACAGGGTTTCAATTAAAAATTTACCTCCAATGGTGGCCATTTGATTTTTATTGATCAACTGGTTTTGAACTAACGTTATTCGATTGCGCGCATTTTTTTAAGCAGTTACTTTAAATACAATGCCTTATCATTCCTCGATCTGGCAACAAAACTCATGTCGAGATCTATGTCAATTTGGCGGTGCATAATGTATAAATACACAGCTACGTCTAGTCGAATTAATTCGATATAGTAAGCAACGATAAAAAGAACCCCTGAAACAACCATTTTAACAGTCCGTAGATGCATCTATTACAAGGCCATTTTTTTAAGCTAATAAGCGTAACAACCAGCAGACGCAACTTACAAGTATATTTTAAACTATAACGATGGATAGTAAGTATATATATAATAATATATATATATATATATATATATATATAAGTCTAAATTGAAAACAACGTTCAAACCTATGATTGCGTCGGATAAAAACCGCAATTTTTGTACGTGTGCATGCAAAACAAATTTCTTAGTAGAGGGGTCTAAATACAGCACATACAACATTTTCCAAAAGACCAAAAAAGTGAAAAAGTATATTTTAACAAAACGTATTTGACTAACAGGTCGAACAACAAATGTTCTTAAATCCTGCTGACTGCCATTGGCGATTGCCAAATAAACGGATCACCGATGTAATAAATGGATCTTAATTATAAATTTAATACTAAACAGAAAACAATAAACTTGCGGAAAAGATGGTATACCGCAAACAAAAGGTGCAAAGGTTTTTGTACACCATATCCGGATTTCAACTCTTCAGTGATGTTAGGAATCGAAACGGTATTTGGAAGGCCATATAATTTACCTCAATTTAGGATAGACTCTTGAATTTGAAGAGTCAAAATAGGATGGACGGATCATATACACCCGAAGGCAAATATAATACAAGCCCAAACGAAAAACTATAAATAAGTCTAAATTGAAAACAACGTTCAAACCAGTCCTATGACTGCGTTGGATAAAACCTGCAATTTTTATACATGTGCATGCAAAACAAATTTCTTGGAAGAGGGGTCAAAATACAGCACAAACAACATTTTCCAAAAGACCAAAAAAGTGAAAAAGTATATTTTAACAAAACGTATTTGACTAACAGGTCGAACAACAAATGTTCTTAAATCCTGCTGACTGCCATTGGCGATTGCCAAATAAACGGATCACCGATGTAATAAATGGATCTTAATTATAAATTTAATACTAATTAAAACAGAAAACAATAAACTTGTGGAAAAGATGGTATATATATATAAACTAATAAATCTATTCAATACTCACTGCGAACTCCTTTGGGAATAGGATCACTAGACAATACAATATTTCTTAATTCTGTGATTATCTCTTTGTCACTTTTGTCCAACTTGCTCGATCTTAAGTCATTGCATTTTTCTTGATAAGTGCTTCCGCCAAGACGAATTAACGCCTAAGAATAAAATATTGTATTTAAATTTATTTTACATTTAATGTAAAATACTTGAGGAATAATTGACTCACATTGAAAAATCTTGCCATGAGCCATACTATTTGTAAATTTTTAAATTCTTTAAAATCTTGCATTTTTACTCGATTGGATGGAAGGGTGGATGAATAGTTAACATTCAATTGGGAAGTGAATGCAAAATTAGGACGATATAAAATAAGAAGATGTGGTATGATTGCCAATGAGACAACTCTCCACAAGAGACCCAAATGACACAGAAATTAACAACTATAGGTCACCGTACGGCCTTCAACAATGAGTAAAACCCATACCGCATAGTCAGATTTAAATGGCCACGAAATGACAAATGTAAAACAATTCAAACGAGAAAAACTAATACATTTTAATGCGAATAGAACATGAATTCTGCTTTTGACTTGACCGACACCTCCGGATTTCTTTTTTTTTTGATAGTTCAAAGGGTACCAAAAGCCATTATCGACAAACCAACCAGGTCACAGTTTACTATAGATGAAACATGCGAATAAACCAATTTGATGAATTGTTCACGTGCTTCTGATATTGACGACCTTTTTTAAATTGTACCGAAAGTTCTGTCTATTTTATAGAATACAATTTTCTAAATAATTCAATAATTACAAACTTTAGCAGGTGTTTGTGTCGCATTTAATCAATCCTTTAATTAAAACGTAGACTATTAGATCCAGGGGTTTAAGAGACCCCTACAATTTAAGAAAAGAAAACAAGTTGGGAACAGATAATCTAAATAAGAGACGTCTATCCTTTTAATAGTTTTCTAATGCAATAGCAACTATCAACTACTTTTATATTTTAACTTGTAAAATTATAATATGCAGTACTAATAGTATGTTGAAACATTGAAAAGTCCGATTCTTAAAAATGAAACGGGTTCCATCTTTTATAACGACAAAGAATAGAATTTGTGGAAGATAAATTCAAAAATCATGTCTATATTTGCCTAGTAGTCGTTTCTATTTATTTGGCTTGTTAAATTTCATTTCATTTTTCCTGACAATACTAGGATTGAGCGTTTATTTTTGGCACAACTTTTCGGAATGTTTCGGTTTTTAATGTTCTTCAAATTCGTATTTTATTTTGGTCCTCCAACTGTTTTGATTCGAAAACCACTGAGGCCAAATAAAAAAAAAAGATGTGTGTTTCCTATTACCCTACCCTCCCTAATTTTTAAGCTCAAAAATAGCCTACCCTAAAGTTTTTTTTTGTCATTTTTCAATAGGCACTGTTAAAGTCAGAATGTCCCTCCCATAGACTCAATGTAAAAAAAAATGGTAAAATAAAAAAAAATCCCTACCTAAATCCCTATTTTTTTTCAAAGTGTAACAGGAAACACACATATTATTTTTTTTGCCTGATAGGTAGTATGTTACCGAAATGCATCTCTACTGTCCCAAACTATAAGCCTGGTATCTTTGATGAGTTCTCTTGACCATCGCGTCCTGAAAAGACATGACAGAAGGAGGAAAACAACAAAATTCAAAACGTTATAATATAATACCAATCATACTCCTCAGTGTTGCTGGATTCTCTAACGCACAGAGTGTGTATCCCTCTGCCTACACGAGAAATTGGCCTAAGTGTCTCTTTTTCGACCGGACGTGACTGCGTATTTACACACCCTTAACAGCAAAACGGGATCCTTTTCCAAGCACGGGTTTTCACTGTAGGACGGGATTAACATATCTCTAAACCGCAGTCAACCCTTGGGGTTAGTACAACTGAAATGCGACATTTTATCAAATTCTATGAAAAAGCCAAAATTTACTTGTGTGATGTCATGCCAATAGGTGATGAAGTCAGCATCTGTTATTGTTCCACTGTCACTGTGAGTTATCCTATTTCTGAAGTATTTAATCCTTGATAAATCAGCTCCCGCACTTGTGTCAATCAGATGAGGACAAGTATCGACTACAGTTATATTTGTCAGATTTCTAATCAGACAGATCATCAATGTAACATCAAAAGTTTCTGAGCATGTCGTACCTGTAATAAAAAATGTATGTGTCACTATCATAAATCAACCATATGAAATTAAAAATATTCTCCATTCTGCTTGCATCATTGTTGATGAGAAATTTAAAGGCTATAGTGTATCAATTTATGACTTCAACATGGTTCAAAACCGTTCACCATACTGCAAGTTCAAGACGGCCCATATCACCAACTTTAGCAGAATTCATATGTAGATGTCGATCTACTTATACTACCTTTGTGCATTGAAATGCACAGCATTTTCAAGAAACAAACTGACCTAAAGCGAGATAATGAGGCACACACACACAAGTTATCGGAAGGAAAATACGCCATTATTGTAAAAATAAATTAGCATAATTATACTTAAAAAAAATATGGCAAACATTTTAGGCGTCCACACAACACAAAAGATAAACTATGTTAACATGATGGATAAAAAGGATATGGTTATCAATTCATGACACAAGATCCTTTCACTCACACGCCCGCAAAAAAAAAAAAAACTATTAGCAAATGCAATGTTCTTTTATTGTTGTATTGATCTCAAAGTCACAGTGAGACCTTCATGATGTAGCAAAAACTCTCACTTTACTGCAACTTCAAGACGGCCCCTAGGAATGGTTTTGTGGAATTTTAAAAATCTCTACTAGATATCAATTACGCTTCATCTGTGCATTGAAGAACACACTGTATTTTTTTTTTTATTCAAGGAATTACTAATATTTTTTTCTGTCCGATATGAAGAAATAACATCAAATATGTGGTGCATACTGAATAATCCGCGTAGCGTGTTACATGTATTTAAAAGTTTGCACCACATTTTTTAGGTTATTTCGAATAGACAGAAAAAATATTACAGTCAGTCCTTATAATTTAATTCTAAATTCCATTTTTAAGGAGTAAATCACGAAAGAACGTTGATGACGTCACGGTCACATGATAAAATTATGTCTATGAGCTGATAGACAAAAAACTTTCAACAAATTAGAAGAGGTGTTAGTAATACATTCAAAATTAAATTATGAGGAAGATAGTATCTTGATTTTGGTATTGTTAGAAGAACATTCGTTTTTTTTACAATGATGAAGTAAAAACTCTATTTGCATCAAGTTTTGAATATTTGTTACTATATGTAAAAAAAAGTCGGTACTTCCAGACATGGAGGAGGAACAGTCACTTTTGTTTTAGTTAGCCAATAAAAGTTAACAAAAATGTGACCACACTTATTATCTTTCTACCGGATGAAAATTTTCTGTCAGCTTATTATTGCAACATATAGTTATTAAACCAGCGACTATATTCTTAGAACACCTTATAAAGTACCTGAGACTGGAAATAGAAGATCCCATTGCTTTTGATTGATGACTCTTTTCTGTCTTAGTGGTTCAAGATATTTGAATCTGTTCTTGTTAAGAACTATCCGAAGACCACTTGGATGAAATTCAGCATCAAATTTGATCCTTACTGCAGATGGCGCCACTCTAAGAATAAGGTGTGCAATACGCAAGTAGTTACTTTCTTCTTTTGTTATTGCATCCTCCATTTTTCTTATTCTGAAAAGTTCAATAGCAATTATGTGAAAAAAGATAACTTATAACCTTAAGAGAGATAATTTCATAAACCCTGAGGGAGAGAGAGAGAGAGAGAGAGCTTCTCAGCTTTAACGGCCCAGTCCAATTGAACCTGGCAGTTTATTCATACACCCCACACATCAAAATGCAGATACTCAGCTCGGACTCAACAGATATCGATTTTTGAAATCTGATCCCCGATAAAAACCTTATACATTGTTTGTACATATAACACTGGACACTTTTAATTTGCAAAACACTCATTTGCAAATCCGCCGCCGCCTCTCCTTAGACCTACAGTGTCGTGTAAATAACCAAAATGTGCGGAATTACATGGGATTCAATAATTTCATTGCTTTTCTGCTGTTATTATTATATATATTTTGTAATTTGATTTAGAAAAACATGAGATTTTCAATATCCCATGGGATAAGGCAAATCCCATGGGATTGACCATTATCCCATGGGATTTTGGTTAAATCCCATGGGATTTTTTTGGGTCCCATGGGATAATTGTAGTCCCATGGGATATTTGTTGTCCCATGGGACAAAAAAAATCCCATGGGACTATAATTATCCCATGGGATTTTTAATATCCCATGGGACAAAATAAAATCCTATGATTCAAATTATAAATATACAGTAAATAAATGTGTATGTTACAATGAATTCTGTTTGGTAGTAAATTGTTTTTTAAAAGATGAATCTTTTTAGTTGAATATCTTTTTTTTCCTTGGAAATGTTAATGCAATTATATTGTTCTATAACTGTTCAAAAATAAACTTTTAAACAACAAAGCAGATAATGTAAGTATCAATATATGTTTATTTCTGAATTCTAGAACACTTTTTTGAAACACAATTTTTTCCCATTTGAAATCAATGAAAACTCTATTAATAGGCTTAACATACTAGTAGCTTTTTACATAAATCTATTTTTTTTCAGGATATCCCTCCACCCAAAAAATTAATAGTTTCTTATCATCCAGCATTGTGTGATCGTAATGTATAGTCCACTTTTTTGCCATTCAGCACAGAACATTGTCATTATTGTGGTTTTAATATCTTTAGATATTTAATAGAACTGCAATTCATTGGCTGAGTGATGAAAATAATAACTGATCTGACTTTTGTCTTTGAATTTATTTTGGCCTTGTTTCTGTGTTTTCTCCTTCTATTCTCAGTGATAAATTCCAATCCTTCTGAAAAAGAACCAATAAAATCCGAAGTTATGGATAATAAAAAATTGTATACATACATGTAGCAAGAACATATGATTTTCAATAAAAATAGCTATGCGGTATGGATTTTACTGATTGTTGAAGGTTGTCCAGTGTCATCAGTTGCTAACCTCCTACATCCTTTGGTCTCTGATGGAGAGTTGTCAAATTAGCAATATACCACATCTTCCTATTCTAATATTATATAACAATCAATTTATGTATTCTTCTTTATAACATTTGGGTATTTTCCCCAGTTATATATATATAGATCAATGTTAAAACTTTAGGTAATTACAATAAAATTCCATTTTTCACAAGAATTTGCAATATATTATACAGAAAGCCAACAATAGAAACAGCACTTCTTTAAGCTTCTGAAGTTCTGAAAGAGTTCCACTTGTGTTTTATTTCAATTAGAAAATACATTGAACTCTTTGAACATGTTGGAAATTATAACATTGATACAAAAAATTATATTGGTTTTTTTTTCTTATTTTTGTGTTGTTCGGTTGCTGTCTCATTTTTATATATGGTTATACATATATCCTAAATCTTCTTTTTTATATACTTAATCATTAATACACAATGTAGTAAAAATGGGATATTTTTTATTTTGATAATCTCAAAACATTATTATTCTATCAAATAACTTATTTCCAAGTTCACAAAACACCAATGTGTCAGATATTAATTTTAAGACATGTATAAACATGATCAACAAGCAGTTGACAGGATGTCATGCAAAAATCTCACTAATATTAAACTTTCACAAAAACTCCATACTCAGCGAGTATTATTAAAGTTCTTAGTACAGGACAAATTCCTAGTACAGGACACAATGCCTGGCAAACACTAGCATGTGTCAATGTCTAGTCAATCATGTAATCAGGCTCAAAATCTTAGTTTGGCACTGAATTTAAAAATTCACCACATAATGAACATGTGCATGAAATTCAACTTCATGGTAAGCTATGTACCTTAACCTAAAACTTTAACCTAAGAATGTACTATAATTTCACATTATGACATTTCTATGTTCAGTGATCCATAAAATCAGGGTAAAAACAGTAAATGTGGTGTTTAATGTATACACAAGAGTGCACACACTGAAATGTTGCGCCTTCTTTACTAATCATTGATATCATGTTGATAGTCCTAAATATAAAGCTTTACTACAAATATCACATAAACTCAACATGATCCAAGAAAATGAATTCAAGGTCATATAAACCTGACAAGAAATATATGTACACCTTACAATCATTCAATTACTAAATACAGTTGACCTACCGGTATTGCTTATAGTTTCTAAGAAGCAGACTTAACCAAGAAAACTAAATATTGACCAATGAACCATGGAAATGAGGTGAAGATCAGATGAACCATGCCAGGCAGACATGTACAGCTTACAATTCTTCCATACAACACATATAGTTGACCTATTGCTTATAGATTAAGAAAAACAGACCAAAACACAACAACTCTACACAAGAGACCAAATGACACAGAAATTAACAACTATAGGTCACCGTACGGCCTTCAACAATGAGCAAAGCCCATACTGCAGTCAGCTATAAAAGGCCCCGAAATGACAATGTAAAACAATTCAAACGAAAAACTAACGGCCTAATTTATGTACAAAAAATGAACGAAAAACAAATATGTAACACATAAACAAACTACCAAAAACACTGAATTACAGGCTCCTGACTTGGGACAGGCACATACATACAGAATGTGGTGGGGTTAAACATGTTAGCGGGATCCAAACCCTCCCCCTAACCTGGGACAGTGGTGTAACAGTACAACATAAGAACGAACAATAATAAAATGCTCCGCTGGGGCGCAGCTTGATACGACCGCAGAGGTCGAACCCTGAACAGTTGGGGCAAGTATGGACACAACATTCAAGCTTGATACAGCTCTGAATTTGGATTGTGATTAAATATTTGACACAGCATAGGTTTCTGACACAGAATGAATGTGGTCTAAGGACTTAAAAAATTTTAATTTACCTATTCAAACCATATCATAATTATTTGCTTTTATATATAAATCAGAAATAACCAATTTAAAATGGAAAATTTTAAAGAAAAAAAAAGGAAACCCCCCCCCCCCCAAAAAAAATATTTTTGAACCCCCTTATGATTCATCACCCCAAAACTCAATAACAGCCTTCCCTTTGAGGTATGGTACTTTGCAGTACAATTTCAGAGAGATTCATACACTTGAACACAAGTTATTGTCTGGAAACTAGAAAAATGCTTGTTTTTTTGGCCCCTTTTTGGCCCCAAATTCCTAAACGTTTTGGGCAATTATCCCCAAACTCAAACCCAGCTTTCACTTTGTGATATGGAACCTTGTAGTACAATTTCATAAAGATCCATACACTTACACACAAGTTATTGTCCTGAAACTCGAAAAATGCTTGTTTTTTTACCTTTTTGGCCCCTAATTCCTAAAATTTTGAGGCAATTACCCCCAAAATCAATCCCAGCCTTCCCTTAGTGGTATGGTACCTTGCAGTACAATTTCAGAGAGATCCATACACTTGAACACAAGTTATTGTCTGGAAACTAGAAAAATGCTTATTTTTGGCCCCTTTTTCCTAAACGTTTTGGGCAATTACCCCCAAACTCAATTCCAGCTTTCTCTTTGTGATATGGAACCTTGAAGTACAAATTCAGAAAGATCCATACACTTACACACAAGTTATTGTCATGAAACTAGAAAAATGCTTGTTTTTTTGCCCCTTTTTTGGCCCCTAATTCCTAATAATTTGAGGCAATTACCCCCCAAAATCAATCCCAGCATTCCCTTTGTGATATGGAACCTTGTGGTACAATGTCAGAGATCCATACACTAACACACAAGTTATGTCTGGAAGTTACAAAAATGCTTATTTTTGGCCCCTTTTTGGCCCCTAATTCCTTAACTGTTGGTACCATAACCCCCAAAATCAATCCCAACCTTTCTTTTGTGGTATTGAACCTTATATGGTAAAATTTCATAGAGATCCATTCACTTAAACTAAAGTTAGAGTGCGAAAACCAATGTGTCTTTGGACGACGACGACACCGACGACGACGCCAACATCATACCAATATACGACCGCAAAAAAATCAGTTGAAAGAGGCTTAACTCATCAGATGGATAAAAATACAAATACTACAAGTACAAGTGGACGTGGCCGGGTACTTGTACATCCAAACAACAAAAAGACACTAAGTACAGATCTGAGAGTACTCGCAGTTACTGACAGCTAGTACAAAGCCACTAACAACTAATAAAAAAAATCGTGCATATAAGACTAAGTTCTTGTTCACTGATCCATCAAATGAGGTCTAGGTCAAGTGAAAACTCTCTGACGAGCATGAGGACCTTGCAAGGTACGCACATACCAAATATAGTTATCCTATTACTCAAAATATGAGAGAAATTAACATTACAAAAAATCTGAACTTTTTTTTCAAGTAGTCACTGAACCATGAAAATGAAGTCAAGGACAATGGACATGTTTCAGACAGAATTCGTATCATGAGGCATCTATATACAAAGTATGAAGCATCCAGGTCTTCCACCTTCTAAAATATAAAGCTTTTAGGAAGTTAGCTAACGCCCACTGCTAACGCCACTGCCGTAGCCGCCACCAGATCACTATCCCTATGTCAAGCTTTCTGCGACAAAAGTTGCAGGCTCGACAAAAATACATGAACATTTTAAAGTACTAAATTTTGAGTATATACATGTAAAACCACAAGTTACTAACTGAAGTTCATGGAGAACTGTAACCAAAAACTTAAAGTGAATACAATTTAGAGAAAGACAGATGGATGCACAAACACTATCATAACAGAGCATAAAACTTACCAAACAAGATGTTTTACATTTATCCTTCAGAAGCAGGAAAACTGAAGTGTTTCTTTTCTTTCTCTGCCCTCCAGGATATAAACTTCAAATTCATTCATGCAAAATATGAAAATCTGCAAAAGTAGGACCTTGTACCGCAGCTTATCCACATTTTGACTTTTGAACTGCATTGTTCTTTTCATCTTGCTGGCAACCTAAACATAAAAAAAATGATAAACACATAATTCTGGATTAACTTTCTGTATTTATTTTTGTTGGTACAAACAATTTTTTCCAACTTTAAACTAAATCTGCCTCTGCTTTAAAAATCAACTGAAAACCATGTATTTATCTTAATTGAAAACAATTTCTTGAGTTTTTCTCATTTGTATCACCCTGTTATTATATATAAATTTTATTTTTGTCCCTTTTTAAAAATAGGAATGGTTCAAATTCCCCAATAATCATGATAATTCTAGTCAGTCAATTAAAAATGTATGAATAAATTATTTAACCTGTATACTATTAATATCAATATATTTCATTTTTGATAAAAACTAGGCTCTGTGTTGAAGACCATACCTTGACCTATAATGGTTTACTTTTATAAATTGTGTGACTTGGATGGAGAGTTGTCTCATTGGCACTCATACCACATCTTCCTATATCTACAAACAGATTCTATGGGCGAGCAGACATTATACCCTGGAGGTGGTTTTAAAACAATTATACGACTTAGATGTACCATAAGCATGGAAAAACAATTCAGCAGTCAGTTTCACAAAAAAACTTACAAATAATATTGATAGTAATTAAGTCATGTACAATACAGTATACTTACGATAAATTGTAAGTTTTTTTTTTGTAAAACCGACTCAAGTATACTTATAATCAATCTTAGTCGTAAGTATTAAGTATTATTCATCTTTTGGATAATTTGTTGGTTTATTTCATGAATATACAGTGGCAGATCCAGAACTTTTCATAAGGGAGGGCCGGCTCCAGTCATGCTTCAGTGATCCCTATATAATCAACCAAATTTTTCCCAAGAAAGCCCCCCCCCCCCCCCCCCCGGATCAGCCTATGATATATGTTTATATATCTCTCTGATATGCCATTTCAAATCAAATGTTGGACCATATGGCACCCCCACCCATAATGTTGTAAAAATATATTTAATTGATATATATTTAATGTACAATAATAAAAAATTGTTTTACAAGGTATTAACTAAGATTTAAGGAAAATGGGGGTGTCAAACAGAAATAGGGGGTCACTTCTTGGAACAGGGATATGTGTCATAAAAATGTTGTAAAAATTAATTGATTTAATATGTATTTGATGTACAATAGTAATATATATATAATAACTATAAAGGAAAATGAAACAAAATGAGATTTATAATGATTTCATTTTTATTTTGGAATAATTAATTTCAAATCAAGAAAGGGGATATACTTTACACATGTCCTGAATGAAACTGTCAAAAAGTGATGTTTTATCTGAATATAATGTTCTCCACATATATTCAATTAAATGTTTATCAAAAGTTTTAGATCTATTATGTGTGGTTGGCAGTTGTCGTTTGATAGACCACCACCGATTCTCAATTAAGTTATTGCATGCACCACTAGTGCATGTAGTGGGATCAACAAAGTTTTCTAATTTTTATTTTTCAACTACGTTGCTAGTTTTTTGTTGACCACAAGCAAAAGGCGATGATTCTTCAGACAATGAAAATAAACTTTTACTAGGTTCATATTCATTGTCAATTTCAAAACTTGTATTTATATTAAATTATCCACATTGAAATGATGATGAATCTGATGATACCTCCTCACTTATCTCATTTTTCGGTTTATTAATAACTTCCAGTTTTCTTAAATTCATGTATGTGTTATCCTTACTGCAACATGGACTTGAAGAATCGCCCTTGTTAAATCAATATAAATTCCAAATAAACAAAGAAAATGAAATAAATAGTGAGTACGTTTCAATTCAATAGCCCCCCAAGGGTGACTGGGGAATAGAAATATGGTCACCATTGGTCTTCCTCCGACCGGCGGTAAAACCCTCCCTAAAGTGGGGCGTCCGTTTGGCTGTGCGGGATGTACAAGTTCGCAGTCACGTCCGGTCAGAATGGGGACGTTAAATCCGATGCCTCGTGTAAAGAGAGTGCCACGCTCTTTGCACGTTAAGAACCCTTGCAACAACTCTTTGAGGGGTCCGTAGGTGGCCTGTTGCAAGGCTAAATTTCTGTCCCTATCCAATTTACCCTCATTTCCCGTGGCAGTCAAAATTTCTCCGACCTTAATCCCGGAAGCCCCTATTACAGAACCTACCTATTGTATTTATTGTTAACTTGTTCTCGTCCTGAATATGCATGAAATATTTGCCACTGGACGTTAAGCAACCAACAATCAATCAATCAATCAATTCAATAGTAAACCAATACATTTTGACCAGTGTAACTACTGGGGTGTGAAAAATACTCATTTGAAAATTCACTGTATTGCTAATTAGATTATTTAAACTTTACAAAAGTATTTTGTTACCTATTTTAAAGTGCAACAATAACCCTGATTTCCCCATATGGAATTACCTATAAGGATATAATTATTTTTAAAACACATATCACCTAACTTGTCATAACCTAGTGGCTAAGTCAGTGGACTACAGATCCCAAGAGTGGAGGTTCGAATCCAAGTAAGGTATATAGGTATATATATATATAATAATTGTGTTATAAATATAATGAGATGTACTGTAATATAAATGATGCTGAAGATGTATAAGTAGTAACATGTGAAAATCTGGGGTGTCAAAAGGAAGTGGGGGTACCAAAAGAAAAAAAAGGTTGTCAACAGAAAATGGCCCACATGAAAAGCAACTAATTTGTAATATTTTTTTTTTGTATATTTATTTAACATTTTTTTCCAATTATTTGTTTAACCCCCCAATAAAGCCATGCCCCATTTTTTTTTATAAAGCTCCCCTTAAAAAAAAACTTTTTAGAATGTTTTCTAATCGGGAAAAATATATTAAATAAAACTTTACACTAGAAAAGTAATGGATAGTTACTCATTTGGTAAACTTACAAGTTCACAGCATGCCGGTGCCTGTGACTGTGTTCAAAGTGGTGGGTTTTCACCCTCGTTGTATTGCGGAATAACGATTTAGGCAAATTGAGAAAAACATCATGTCTGTGGTTGATAATAGTGTGTGTGCATTAATTCAATTTTCTATACCTTCTTATTTAATATTTTTCCAATTTTGAGTACTGACGGCAAGTGTTGTAACCAATGTCTTGAGACCAATGTGCTATTTACAAGTGCGATCGAGAAATGCAGGGGAAAGAAACTTATCAATTATGTTTATTCTTAAGACAAAACTGAGCCGCCGTAAAAATGAACCGTGTCGAGGAGGTTACTGACACCTGAGACTACTATAACACAGTAGTCTCAGCTGACACGTAATAGGGCAGAGACATATTTACACATATGTGTATATATGTCTCTGTAATAGGGTCATCCCTCGAGAACATTAACTAGTACATTGATAGTTTTCTATGCAGTCAGTATCCCGAAAAAAAAACGTATGGATGCAAAACGCTTAGTGGTTTCGGCTGACTACTAATACGTGCACTTTGTCTAAAAAATATCCCGGCAGCGTCAAAGTTGAAGTCAGGATCTTGTGGGGGGGGGGGGGGGGGGGGGGGGGGAGTCTTCTTTTTCTGTGTTCTTTTTTTTTTTTTTTTGCTATATTTCTACAAACTTACACTTTTTTATCATCTCTTTCCTCATATTTTAGCATTAATTTTCATTATTCTTTAATCTTTATTGTTTGCCCGTTATTCTCTATTCTGTTAACCCCCATCCTTACCGTTAAGCTTTCGGTAGTTTATTTTATCCTATTTCTGTCTAAATACATTATTTATCACAAAACAAAAACTTACTAAATATTTTTTTATGAAGTCCTCACCAGTTGCGGATCCAAAAAATGACATAAGGAGGCACTAACTGTCATGCATAAAGAGGGGCCCGCTTCATTCATTCTCTAAATAATCGACCAATTTTTTTCCAAAAAAGGGGCGGCCCCCCATGCCCTCACCTTAATCCATCTCTAAACCCTTCCCACTTCGTATCCTTGAATTCAGATTCAAGATCTCTCTGACAAAAGTAAGTAAGTAAGTCACATTTGCTTATATCAGGTTTTTGACTTGAACTGGCGGATAGTTGTTTCATTACCAATCGTACCACATCTCCTTATTTATATATATACGAAAGCTTTATTCATATTTTTTGGTGTATTGATGAATGTGTAAAGATGCAGCAATTGTAATACATTTTAAAATACAGCACAAGAGATGCAGATTATATAAAACCAATCTCACTATACAAATCCTTGATAAAACTTATAAGTCGAAGACATACAGACAAACGCCATGGCAAAAACTTAAAAAACGACCAAATGACGTACAACAGTATATAAAACTTGACCATAGCATTTAAAACACATAAGAAGCACCCAGACAGTCAAACAGAAATTAAAAGAATAAATAATTTGTAAAGATTTTCAACTAGGCCTACAGCTATATTTTCTTATCGGCTAAACATAGGTTCTGGTATTATGTGATAAGTCATTTTTTCATGCAGACCCAGTTTTATTGATACCTTGTGTATATATGTCTCTGGGTAAACGGACAGAAAGTCGCAGGACAAAGGTTTAGATTAATTATTTTACAATTGTTTAAATATATGAGAGAAAGTTCTTGACGAATTGACTTTATTTATAGATAAATGTATTTAGTTGAGGAAATGATTAATTCGCCTTCAAATAATTTTTTTTTATCAATAACTTATAAAAAGGAGACATTTTTGACAGCATGACTTCAGTTAATTACCAAACCACTTTTGCAGATTGTTTTCTTAACAATCATTGTTCATATTAATATTCAAAAATAAATTTTGTTTACAAGTCCGTTTCCTTTTAAAAATGTTTCAGAAAAATACTGAAACGTTTTTAAAATTAAGTTTATTCAAAGAAAAAAATATCCCAAAACTGAATCGTGACTTTTTACTTGTTACTTTTTGTTGTACGTTCTAAGTGTCAATCCTAGCAAACAAAAATTTGGAAATAAAATCGATTACAATGTAATTTTATAGAAGGAAAAAGGGGGGTTAATGAACAAATTATTACTATACACTCACATACTTCTAAAAAGATTTGCATATGTAAGCTGTCTATAGATAATGTTAAATTATTTCAGGAGTTTCAATTAATTTAGGAGAAAAAAAAGATTATAAACAGTTTAGTTTTCAACGTCTACTACTACAAAAAATAGTGATTCTTTTTGTAGATTTGGTACTTCAGTTTCGACTCAAAATTTCCTATTGTAATTGTTAGATGCCAAATATTTAGGAGAAGATTGTATTTGTACTTTATGTAATTGTGGTGATATTGGCGACGCGATTCATTATATTATAGCAAGGATTTGTAAAAATCCTTGATTATAGAATGTTCGGCAATAGACGAAAGTAGACAAACCCTATTTAAACGGGGTTTTAATCTCCAAGGACGCCACATTTTACATCGAATAAGATCTATATTTGTTAACGTTTTCAAATGAAATAACTTGAATTGAAAATTTCCCGACTATGTGAAGATTTCTTATATTTCTAAATGGCTTCAATTATTACATACAAAACGAAAAATTTATTTAACTTTTTTTGTAAAAACAATATTCATGTATTTTTATATTTTTTCCAAGGAAACGTTTTTTGTTTGTTTGTTTGCAAAGTTTACTTGTATGTGTTTGTAACCATCACCAATCAGTCCTAATTATTAAAGATCAAACGTTGTAATCAAAATGATGATTGGTATTGAATATGATCATCGGTCATGCATGACGTATCCCAAATAACTTCTTTAATGTTGGTTTGATTTTATCATGAACTTAGTTCTAGTTATCTTAGTTCCTAGTCACAGGCACTTGTCTCAGAAAAAAAATGCCCTATATACTTTTAATGTTATATTAAGCAGGGACTTTCTATACTAAGTTAGTATAGAAAGTCCCTGTATTAAGGTATATAGGAAACAAAATTCTGAGACAAGTGCCTGTGGTCCTAGTGTGAAATAAATCCACTGGGAATTGGCCTTTTTAAACACATCTATATATACGTTTTCTCAAGGGTTTGTACATGTAAAGTGAAATTATGTTTACTCAATGCGTAGTTACATAAGTTTATTTGCTACTTTTTTCTTCTTTATTTTATATAAATGATTTTTTTTTTTAAATTTTAACATTTTTTTCTTCGAAAGAATTGTAGTGTTGCAATAGGGAATGGACACAGATACTTAACTACATTTAACGAAAAAAAATTTGTGTAATGTCATCAATCTGTATTACACATAGACAGGATGTTCTCTAGAAAACTATGATATTTCTAATACGTTATACACACCCCAGGGTACACGCACTGTCGTAATGGAAAATTACTGCATGCTTTAATTACCTGTAATCAGCCATGCAACAATCAGTTGACTGACCATGTCATTACAGTTTAAAAAGTTCTCAGATCAAAACGGAATATTCATTTTAACTTTAAAATTTAAAACTTTAAAAATTAAACTTTGATATAATTATGACGTTAAAGAATTTAACAATTTAATAATCGGATTTTCCCAAAGATTAAGATACAATTATATTTATTATTCTGGGACTGACAGATATATCACAGGCACTTGCATCAGAATTTTTTTCCTATATACTTTTATTAAAGTATATAGGATTTTTTTTCTGAGACAAGTGCCTGTGAGATATATACATGCATAAGTCCCAGACATATGTAATTGTAAATCAAAATGATTTACATAATTACTGGGAAATAATATAATGTTTCAGTTATGTTGATGTCACAAATACACATGAATTATTTGATGATGCATGCTGGAATTTCTTATCTAACTGCATGACGGTGACCACAGACATATATACATATCCATTTACTGATTCTATAATTTCTTGAGAAAAAAATCAGGAGGGAAGTCAGAGGGAAGTGAAACAAACATTTTAAGCTTTTATTAAAAATTTTGGGAAAACAATAAAATACGACACTGAGTTTTGAAAAAAAAGTTTATGATTGGTCTTAATTTTTTTTTTTAATAAAGATAGAAACAATTTTTTGTCCCAAGAAAAAAAAAACAATGCCCCCTTTTTAGCCAAACCGACACACGCCGATGAATGAAGAATTCCAAGTAGGGTCACAAGGTCACATTTTAAAACTTTTTCAGTCGCCCAGTATCAAAAAGCAATTTTGACTGGCATTGTTTTTAGTCGAATTATGTTTTTGCAGGTCAGGTTGCAAAGTGGCAGGTCGCGATCGGATTTGACAATGTCAAGTTGACAACGGTCCTAAAAAATGTCCGAAAAAACGTTGAATCAAACGATATGAACCTACGCAGTTTTATATTATAAGACTGACACACACCAGTGTGCTAACTGTGCTGGGTGAGGTGCTGTAACTTGATATACATGTATCATTAAGTTACAGTACTGTTAGGATTTGCCTGCCTTTTTACAGGGTCTTTCTATACTAACTGTTAGTATAGACTGCCCCTGGCTTGAAAGTATGGTTCTCTGCTCATCAACGGGTGCGTGATTAGCAATTTAAATATCTTGTAGCAGTAAAATACCTCCGGCCGGGGGGGGGGGGGGGGCACTTCAATACTTAATTGATAGGGGTGTCGCTGGGGTTCTGTTACCCCACCCTATTCATATAATTTAGATCTTAAAAATGTATTATACCTTTTCATATATTGCGAGGGTAAAATTGTAACCTTTTCCCATATTGGTTGGTTTTCGTGGGGTGTGTTGGAAAAGTGGAATATTTAAGGCTAAGATTCTGTATGTAATGTTTACTTACGGCGAGACTTTCGGCTGTAAAAAAATGACAGGGCTTTTCATATACAAGTAATTGGAACTTTATCGACCTTATCATATATTTCTGATAGTTTTCCCCACCTATTCCCATATTTTCAAGCTGGAAAAAGTGACCTTATTCCAGCGGCACGTCATATCACCTTGTATATAGGAAGTGCCCCCCCCCCCCCCCGAGTACAATACACAAATGTATAATACCTTAATTCAGGAGCACAGTCTGTCTTTACCGTAAATAACTTCGAGATTAATATGTAAGTTTACTTTGCTAATCGATGTTCCTGTAATTCAGATTTAAATTTATTTGTGAGACCCCCGTCACTATTTATATTCACTCAAAGAAAGGGGTTCTCCGTTACTGGGAAAATTCAAGGACGTATTGTGTTAGTTATACCAGAGACATATATATATGTGTATATATGTCTCTGGTTATACGTCCTTGGAAAATCTTATCTGATTCAGGATCAATTTATCGGTTACACTCCCCTATCACCAGTGATTCTTTGTGAACTGACATTCTGAAAAAGGTATACTGTTGACTATCAATTTGCATGATTAGTTACAGATGTCGACTCGGACTACTGCAGAAGACAATAATTCAGTTCACTGATTTAGATTGAATAGTGGTTCGGTTAATCCCCTCTTCCCCAAACAAGTAAGAATTAGGTTACATCTTTTGGTAGTCCAAATAATTATGACGTCTAGCAAGGCTATTTTATTTTTTTTATGCCCCCGCCGTAGCGGTGGG